TTTTACTTCGATAATTTCATCAAGACTAGGTAAATCTGCAGATAAGCAAAGATTTGTTTTCTTTTCTTTCAGTATCATTTGAAATCGTTCTCGAATAGACATCGACAGATGTTTTGTTTCGGCAATTTCTGGTTTCGATGAAGGTAATTGAGTTTGATTTTCACGAATAAACATTTGAACAGTTTTTGACATCTCTTCCGTAATTCGACCGTGCTTCACCAAATGTCCTAACACTTCCGTTATCGTCAAAACTCTACGAATATTCGTATTCAATAAACATGACTCCAACACTTTCTCTTACCGAAGTAATCGAATGTTTTTCTCCTTCAGATTATTTTCACCATTTTGTTCTCGATCAAAAAACACAATGGCATCAGTGACCTGCAAGCCTTCTGCACGAAGACTCTAAAATCGTTCACAGAGAGGATTCGGATTGAAAACATATGCGTGAGCTTACTTCTGCGGTTTCAGCAACGCTCGATCCGCTGGTAACGATGTCTTCGATGATTAAGCATCGATCGTTGGGTTGAAATTTTCCTTCAATTAACTTTTTTGTTCCATAATCTTTCTTTTCCTTTCGACGAATTAACATCGGTCTTTTGTAATCAGCACAGATGATCTTTCCAAAGCAAACATTGAAGACAACTGTCCGTTTTTTTTTCTATTTGACAGCAAAACAAGATTTTGTTATCTTACCGAAGCGATGGGCAACGCGGTATAAGGAACTCCGCAGATCGAATCACATGCGACGTTGGCACGTTGTATAATGTCATTCATATGCACAGCGATAGATCGCTATATAGGGAAGAAAATTAGGAAAAAAGTAAAACATTGAAGACTGAATGAATTACGAGAATATCAGGATAACTGATGATAACCCGTAAATCGATGTAAATGGGCGATTGAATGCCACTTTTGAGTTTAAATGAACCAAACTTAAATGCCTCGATATCGAAGAGTTTTACGACAAGACTACCAAGATCATCCATCGAAAGTGTTGCAAACAAGAAATTGATTTGACCGGAACTGCGAACGTTATACAAATTGATCAACGGAGGAAAATCTATGTTTATTGAATAGGAATATTCGTAGAGTTTTGACGATAAGGGAAGTGTTATGATATTTGGTGAAGTATGGTTGAATTAAGGAAGAGATGGAAGAAAGTGTTGAAATGTTTATATGGTAAAA